ATCAAATCAGCACCAGTTTCAAGGGAACGGAGCTACGATAATGCTGAGAACCAAGATTATAATATTTTATGCTCCTCTGATCTGGCCTGGTTCACCAGATCACTGGGGTAGAAAATACAACAATAGCTAATAGCAGAAACAAGACTAATTACTTATTTCAGAATTAATAAGTTGTGGCATAGTCTGTGAGTCATTTCCGTACTGAACCAATTTTTTTTTCACTCATCAAATTTGCTTATGGAGTAATTATCTTGAAGACAGGAATAGATAGTGAGATTTTTCCCAGAACAAATTTAAAGAGACTTTAATATCTTGTAAGACCACATCCCAGATGATTCGCTGATAACCTGTTACAAGCATTTACAGGATGGAATTCATGTAAAACCACCACAGCTAACAAACTACATCATGACAGAGGAAAAGAAAAACAGTAGAAAATATTTATTGACATAGTATTGTATAATATCTTAATATAGCAAAGGTTTGCATTTATTTTCCCAAATGAGTTTTCATTTTATGCAGTTAAAATATTATAAAACCACATTTTTCAAAGTCCGCTGTCAGTCTTTAAAAAGTTAAGAACATTAAAGAATCATCAAAGCTATTTCCGGCGGTTTTTAGCCTAAATGCTATCTCACACATGGAGCAAAAGGCTGGTGCAACAGGGACTCAAATATACTTCCAAATCCTTTGAGATTAGTGTGCAATTTAAGCTTTCAGTTTAACAATGTTATTTATTTTTTCCCCATTCATTCTTTAATCCAGGAATTTGTAGGTGGAAGTATCTGCAATTCTCTGTGCTTTAAAATCAGAAGCAGTTGATTAAGCTTCTACAAAGACGCCAAACACAAATGGGAGGTATTTGAAAAAAATTATTGGCTAGAATTTGAGTGTACATGCAAGAAATGGAGCTAGAATTTAAATGCTTCAATTCTGAGGTTTTTTGTTTGTTGTTTTTTGGTTGGTTGGTTGGTTGGTTGGTTTGGTTTGGGTTTTTTTTCCAATGGGAAACAGCCTTAAGAGGAATCCCAACAAAGTATCAGGTTTGAGAAACTTTCAAGTGAATGAAATTCCCTTTACTCACTGCACTCTTGGTAACTGGTGTGCTGGGAGGTTCACACTGCCAAGCCCTTTGGCCAGGACACGGATCTATTGTTTCCCAAGGACCCTAAATGAGCACAAGCGTAATCCTTGTGATTGTAGATCATGGTCAAACCTCATGCCTGCTGGCAGTCCCTGCCAGAACCTGAGCCCTCTCACAGCCCTTTCCTTGGTGCTGCTGACTGGGAAGAACAGCCTCATCTTTAATAGCACAAGGAGATTGTTCATGTAACTTGTGATTTTTACACCTTAATTGATGCTGTTATGCTTTTACCAGCTGCCTACCCTTCCTTACAACAGGTCCCTCTGTTACCTCGCAGCCATTTAATCTGTTAATTTTCACACTTCCTTTATCCCTCACATACCACGTCTGTCTTCCTGGTCTTCCGTACCATCTACTTCTCTTGCTCTCTCTTTCTGTATTAACTGCTGTTTGCTGCTAGGTCATCCCTTAGCAGCAGAACAGGAGGAACTCCCATCTGCTTCTCTCCACATGTAGATGAATTATTTTTTTACTTGAACCACATTCTGTGCTGATTCATACTCCATACAGACTCATAAATCTGCAAAATTTGGATGGTAACTTACAAACTGAGCCAAGGAGTTTCCTTAAGCAATTTTTAAAGCCTTGGGTACTCTATACCTCATATAACAGAAAAAATTTTTCTACCTAACATGGTGTTTTTCTTTTCATAAGATAATCCAAACTTAGACTTAATTTTTCACACTGCAGACAATCCCCTTGACTTCCATCGTAGGTCTCAGAGCCCCAGACTAAACGCATGCACAAATGCCTTGCAGAAGCTGGTCTGGGACTGCTAACGGTTTGTATACGAGGGTTATCTTTGGCCTGGGAAAAACACACATGTTAACTTTACACATTGCCAGCAGACCCCTAGCAGAAAAGGGATTTGACTGAGTTTGGCTTTTCCTAAAGCCAGGCATACAGTTAAAGAAAAAGATCTACTATAGCAACTCTGATGGAAAAGCGTTAGTACTGATGAAAACAAGTGACGTATAGCCTGTTACTTGAAAAAGGGAAAAATCCTTTGGGGAAACATCACGAGGGCTCTGTCCCCTTCTGGGCTGGGAACACAGCCTTGTTGCTGGTGTCCTAGACAACAGCAGATCTGATCTGCTAAGTACACCCCTTCCTCGTGTTTTCTCATTGATAAGTAGATAACAACTACAGCTTTTTAAGGAAATCTGAGATGATCACAGCTCAGAAATTCTTGTCCCATTTGCAGTGGCTGGTACCCAGAGCTCTGTGTGGAACAATAACCTCTTGGGGTTGTGTGTAAGTACTCGGTTTATGAACTATTTCAGAAGTCCCTGTAGTAAGCAGTCACAATGCCTGCGTAACGCATTTGCTTCGCTACTAGGCCAAGTAGGCTATTCAAGAGGCTTGAATATATAAAGAGTTTTGATTAATTTTTATGTTGCTCTGGTCAGCCTCTTTAATCTCTTTTAGTACCATAAAATGAGGCACTGAGCATCTACTATTTATCCTCTGAGGATAAACATTTGTTATCAGCTTGGTATGAGAACTTCAGGTTGTGGCTGAGGTATTTATAGCGGATGATTATTGTAACAAGACCATTTGAAAGATGACATCAATGTTTTTCATTCTTACCTTGTCCCTGATTCCCAGACTAATAAAGAAATAGATTATATTTCTGCTCCTAAGGACTACACCTAAATAAGACTCACCTAAACAAGGAATTTACTAAGCCACCTTATCTGGATCAGTTTTGGACACAAATCAACAATGAGAATAATTGTAACAAAATCCATGGACCTTGGTTGACTAGTATTGATTAGCGATGTGGTACCTTATTTGTCACAGTAACTATAGAAAAAGGCACTTAAGAAAAACATTACAGAGCCAACTAAGGAATATTGGAGGCCAGTTGCATAGAGTGAGAATATTAAATACTAGACTGAGGTGATTTAAAATTACTGTCAGTGAAGCCCTATGTCTTAATACAGATGTTAACAACAATAAAAAATAATTAACCTTAAAATCTTAGACATTAATTTCTAAACTTCAAAAACTATTATTAGTTTTCTGCAAACAATCACACACCGCTCCCCCCAACCCCTCCCAAAAAAAAAAAAAGTAAAAATGAGAAAAGTTTCCTGTTTCCTGGAAAGGCTAATGATAAAAGAAATAGTTTCTTTTAAACTGACATCTCTTCCAATTAATGAAATATTGCTACGGTTATGGTATGGAAGCAAATATTAAATTTTTATGCTTTGGCAATACTATTATAAAGTTGCCTGCACATTCAAAGTGTCAGGTTTTGTACTTTCAATCATATTAAAAAAATGTGGTTTATTAAAAATTATCTTACTTCATCAAAAGATATTATAAACATATTTTAAAATCTTGTTACATATTTTTTCCTTCTGCACAGGAAGAAAATGTATTTTGGTCAGCATAAACTTATGACCAAAAAAAAATAAAAAAAGAAATATTGTGGTGGCAAATAATGTTAAAAAAATTGAAAGCCAAAGGCTATGATTAGAAATACACAGTATCGTTCTATGTTATTAGATTAACGTAGCACCATAACAATCCTGTGCACTTCAAAATCTTATTATAAAAGATATAGACTGGTGTAGCAATCAACAACAATTTTTAAATGGTGATTTGTGTTTAAAGGTGTGTAAAAGTGCAGCCCAGTTCCTGTTTTCGTTAAATATATGGTTCAGCAAACATATTGAACCATATTATTTGCTACCTACTGCTACTACCTAACAAGGTATCTGTTATAATGTGCAGGATACCATTCAGAAAGTGGTATCATTTAGTTGGCAGAAATTTTCAGTTTAAGCTTGTAATTCATATTGAGGTGAAGTCTGAAATATGACATGATTAAAACTACCCATTTTGCAAAACCGTATAAAGCCAAACTACAATACTGCTTTCCAACTCCCAGTCTAATGCCTATTATCCTATCTATCTAGGTAGCTGAACTCGTACAAAAGTAATTTATAAAAACTGCAAAAATGGTTAGCACCCAAAAAAAAATCTATCATCTCTGAAGGTCTAAATGATTGTCAAAAAGCCACTTCAGAAGTCAGTGACTTCTCCCAATGGTAAAGCTAAACCTACCACTCTCCAAATACTAATTGGAATGAAAATGCCTGTGTTTAAGACTTCTGTAACTTCCCAAAGAAGATTTAAAGGCATTAAATTATGTCCTGATGTTTCTTCTTCCGAACACGGAAAGCTCTATGTCCATTAATTTCTTTTTGCTGTTTTGACTGAGCAATGAAGTGAAACTTGTCTTTTAAATTCTAACCCTCAGCTACAGAAATCTGGGACTTCCATGGAAGTGTTTGGGTAGCAACAAGAAGAGGGATTTTTCCAAGCTAACAAGCACTAACTAGTCTGCTGCTTCTCAACATGGAGCTGAGGTCTTTTGCCTTGGTCTCATGCAGTTCTCTGGATTGTTCTGCACAATGTGCTGTGTGCACAACTTGTATTTGAAGAATTGGAACAGAACCCTGAGAAAAGCAAATCCATTGGAAAAATAGATATTGGTTAATTATACCAGTTTGAGATGTTTCAATCCTTCCCTTGGAAAAAGATGACAAACAGGTCTAGTAACTTCTTTTTTTTCTGATGTGAATTATTTGAATTTATCACACTTGGAAACATATAGTTTGGGATTTTAAGTGCATATCTAGGGTTGATTACAATTAGAAATTTATTTTTTGGACAATTCTACCCATCGCCCAGAAATTTAGCATTCCTCAAGTCAACACAAAATTACTTGTGAGCTTTGAGTTCAAAAACATCCTGACGTGGAGTGATGTTCTTCCAGTAACTGCCACAGCAGCCTTTCACCCTACGGTAATACGGGTGCTAAGCCAGTCAGGTTCAGCTCTCTTCAGCCCTGTGTGCAATTCTCATCATTCCCGTGTATCCAGAAGCAAATCTGGGCATATTTGAGAGGAGTAATTCTTACTGCTACATTGTAATCCTGCTGTTCACCATTGACATCCACCCACTGGTGGCCTGAGTAAACGGCGATGATCTTGCGTTTCCACTTCTTTTTGTTCGGCTCCTTAAGACGGAGATAGACACCAGATCCAGTGGAGCCAGGCTCAGCATCACAGTACTGATAAAAGAGATCATTGGACTCATCAGAAATGCTACAAAATCTATAGACCAGCTGCCCAGATCGATCATTGTCAAAACCTGAGAAGTGGATCATGCTCCCAGGCATCATTTTGATTGTTGGGCTGATTCCCAGCTCCATGTATTTCCTTTTGTGAGGACGCTTGAGCTCAAGAACAGCATAGTCATAATCCAGGGCAATATCTCCAGAGACACCCTTAAACCAGCCTTTTGGGATGTGGGTACTCTTCACCCTGGTCCACTGGAAGGAGGGCGTGCCATCTGAGGTCCCCTGCTTCCTCCCAGATCTCCTCTGCTTTCTCCCACCACCTTTGGATTGCCGCCTTAGTTCTTTGACAGCTTCGGGATCCTCTTGGGCTGCAGAAACTTCCCTCCTACTTCTTTTCGCACCTTTGCGTTTCCTGCCCTCGCCTCTGGATTTCGTCTTCATCAGGCCCACTCTCAGCCTTTTGCTGCCCTTGACATAATCCTTGCCGTTGTGCAGACAGTGGGCAGCTGTTAGCACGTGCTTGGGGGAAATGAGGACGCCACTGCAGCCGGTGGAGATCTTCACCGCTGTGTTGAACGGGAAGTTGGTCATAAACCGCTTGTCATAGATGCTGAACCTACTGTCCGTTCCATATATCTGCCTCTTCCTTCGTGAAGACCTTCGTGTGGTTGTGTTTCCAGCTGGGTCAAGCACTAGCCCGAGGACTTTCACTTCAGTCAGAGTCCGCGTGCCGTTTTCAAAAACGGTCTCATAGGATAAGAGGTCCTTCAAGTCAGACAAGCTTGGCACCGGCAATTTTCTTTGACATTCGATTCCACATACACTGTCCAGCTCTAATTTGGTTTTTGCTTCAAATTTAGGGCTGTCAAGGGAGAAAGTTCTTTCGCTCACAATCTGAGGAATCTTCTTTAAGTGCCAAGTAAAATCTTGTTCAGTTTCTGTTCCATCAGTGAGACCCAATATAGGTATGAAAAATACGAATAGCAGTAACATGTGCTCCATTTTATCTATTTTTTTCTAGAACGAGAAAGAGAGATTTGAAAATACGCGTTGGAAATAGGCACAGTTATCTTAGCATCATCACAAGTATAATCATGCAACATTAGCACTGACATCTGTGGAACAGAATTTAACACTCTGCTCAAAATAGAAATGCCTCAGATACCCCCTGTATCGCCTCTGGCGCTTTCAACAGTCTCTAGCAAGATGGGCGCAGACAAGTCAGCCAGCATCCATGCTGAGCTACCTACTGGAAGGTGGAGACGGCAGAGTTTGACCTGCTTTTCCCTTGGGGGGGCAGTAGTCTGGGTTGTTCCACTTTGTGCAGCACCCTGTATTGATTTATTCCTTAGGAATGCTACTCTCCTTTACACTTCTGCTTATCTTCTCTACAGCTGCTGGTTGTAGGTAGAACATGGTTGAAAACCACCAGTGTGTTCAAAAGCTGCATTCAGAAGTTGAGACTCAGGCAGAGCTGGACAGACAGACTACACCTGTGAGACTTAGGAACCCTTAGGAAACCGGACAAATCGTGCTCTTTCATGTAAAGCCCAAAAAGTAGCAGCTTTAAGAGACCTAAAAGTCACCAATGGTTCTGCCTTACCCACCCAGCTGAGACCTGTGAATCTGTCTACTGTGGAAAATGGCACTTTGCTATTTGCTCCCCTAAGGAACCAACTTAGAAAGATTCCCTTTCCCCTTTTAAAGTTTATGTTGTCATGTGACAGATGGAACAATTTGGGCACCTAATCAAGGTGGCAATCCTCATTTTAAATACTTCCAGCATCTGCCACTCTGTAGGGCAGGAGCGTCCCGCAGATCCTGCGTTGTACCTCCCTGTGTGCCGTGGCCACCAAAACCTCATTCATTTCCTATGTGTGGGTGTCTGAATCTCGCTCATGATGTCAGAGAATTTCAAATTCCGTGGTTGGAGGGGACAGATGAGTGAGGAGAGATGGCTGTTGGCTTAGAGGAGTCTCATGGTTATATATATGCAGGAAAGCCCAGCCAAGTAGGAGGGACAAGTCTGACCGCTCATCACATGCCTTTTTCCTGCAGGATCCCACAAAGGCTGCAGGAGTGGTGCTGTCTGTGCCTTACGGTCACATGTGGAAAGCCCCACCTAGATGGGGTGATGCACCACACAAAGAGCTCATACTTAAATGGGAATGACAAAAAACTGTTATTCCCATCTGTAGTAGGAAACACACACAAAGAATCCAAAATTATTAGAAGTCTGTGGCAGAGCCAGAAACTGAACCCAGAAGTCTTGATTCTGAGCTCAAAATATTATGGAAAAGACCATCTTTTCTCCTTTGGCAGCAGTGACATCAGTAGCATTAACCATCTACTCGCCACTGCCATGGGGAAAGCTGCGCTCCGCTCTCATATCCTTCATTCTAATTATATGCAAACCTCAGCTGCCCAGAAAGAAAGGGCCTATGATTAAACTTTAAAAGCCAAGCAATTCAAGGATATGCATGTGGTTAAGCTCTCCAGTTTACAGGGCAAAGACAACGGCTTTCCTGTTCTTGAGCTTAGTTTAGAATATTATGAGCACTGGCTACCCAGTGAAAGAGCCTGGTTATGAGCTAACTAAAGGTCTAGCATGAAAAAAAGAGGAATATGTGTGGAATATGGAAAAAGAAGTTGTAGCATCACTTTAAAAGCTGTATAATGGACCAACAATCCCTATAATTTTGAGGCACCTTCATCACATAGACACAGTTCTTGTCTGTAAGAGGTAATTATTACCACTTTTTAGCTAACTAAGCATTATGGTTCAAACACAGCTTGTCGCTGCCGATGCCAAAATTACAGGGTGGTTGTGTTTTGCCATAATTTTTCATGCTTTTCACCTTTGCCTGCACGGAACACCAGCTCTGACCTGGAGTTTACTTACTAGGATATACACAAAACACATTTTACAATACACTATAAAAACACTCTGGCTTTAAAGTCGCTAACTCAGGTTTTGGAGAAGATTTGTGGACTTTCATAAGACATCTGGAGATTACTCACAGGCTTAAGCTCTGGGGTGTATGCGGTAAAAGATAGTAAAAGACATCTGAAGGTTTTGAAAGCAGGGCAGAGTCACCCCAGGTGCAAGACTTTGCGGATAGACTCCAGTTGACCACACCAGTCTAGCTTATTGGTACAGCAGAAATGCACATATTTAAACATTAACTTTTACATTCAAAGTTACCATTAAGTACTATTTTTGTTATTGCTCAAGTAATACTAAATTTGAAGAGGGATGATAATTTTACATATTTATGGATAAATTATAAGGTGTCAAAATAAAAAAATAGTATGACGAGAACATAAGAATGGCTTTCCTGGCCTGACCAAAGGTCCATCTCACATAAAATCCCGTTTCTGACACTGGCCAAATACGGCTGCCTAGGGTAGTGCACAAGAATAGGGAAACCATGTATGTCCCTCCTCCCTCATAGTTTCTTAGTTTTCAACCAGTTGCACCACACAGACTTCAGACCAGATGTAGTTTCAGTAGTGTGAGGAAACTTCACTGGATTTTTCTTCCATCGCTGTCCAATCTCCCCTTGAACCCATATAAAATTCTGTATCCACAATGTTCTGCATCAAGGAATTCCACAGCTTAACTATATGTCTTATGAGGAACCATCTCCTTTTTGTTATTTCCAGCCTGTCACAAACTAGCATGGTTTGATGGTAAATAAAGTGATGTTAATATGGAAAAGCTGGTTTTAATTTGCTTTGCCCTAATGTAGCTGTTAAACAGATACAAGGTATTAAGAAACCCAGATCTTCTGTCAGACTCAAGAATTTCTATGTTAGTTCCTAGAGTACTAATCCCTTTCTCAGCCCTTCCTCAGGGTCTGGGTATTTTGTATTTCTCTGTAGCTGAATTTTGTGAGCCTTAAGGAAAGTTCATTCACTAACTGCTACTTCATACAGAAAGAGGTGCCTGGGTTGCTGTCATTCCACTGTGAAGGCTGAAGTCTCCCCAGCTGGAACCATAACTAACTTTGTCCTATAGAGAGGCTTTCTGCAAGCAAATAAGTAGAGCATTATGGCTCTCTTCTGCCACTCCTGAAAAACACCAAAACACAACCCTCAATAGATGCCTTGGAGCCTCCCATTTGAAATACTATACTCAAGTGCTCACTACTTCCAAAGGCGGTGTTGGAAGCTAAGATTTTCATCATTCATAACAAACCACTTGTTGCTTGTAATGAACTAACTACACTTCAGTAGAACTGGAAGAAGTCCAAGCCAAGGAACTTGATGAAAATGGCAATTCTCATTACAGACCAGAGCAGTGGTCCCACTAGGCAGCATTGTGATTTACAGCCACACAAGCTCTATTTACTAACCCAGTCTCTACTGTTTAAGCAAGGCGAACTTCAAGCATGGCAACGTCAGTGGTTGCCATGGCCCAGTACAGTCTGCCAGCAAGAGGGGAACACAGGGGCTCCTCTTGCCAGACGATGGGGATGGAAAAGGGTAGACAGCTGCAAAGACACCTTTGCAGGGTGGGAGAAGGGGAGAGAATACAGACTGCAGAGGAAGGAAGGAAGGAAGGCTCTGAGAAGGCTACACACTGGGCACAAGAAAAAACCCTCAACATCTTACTCATACTTTCTGCCACGCTGTTCTCCACTCTTCCTCCAAACCCCAAGCTGCTCTGCCCTCTCCTTTCCTTCGCTCCTTCACCATACAAATTTTGGGGTTGGCTTACAGTAATTAGAAGCCTTGAGTCAGCTCTGTCTTTATGGCAAGATGAATTGCTTCAGAGAAGGCAGAAGAAGGTGGAAACCAGAAAGTGAGAGAGAGATCCCCAGCTCCGTGAAATTTTGAAATTCCCCCTGCACTTTCCAAACGCAGCTGATAACGTTGAGGACTCCTGCCTGGTGGCATTCCAGCTGCCTGGCACATGTGTACAATTAGAAGTATTTTCAGTTTTAGTTGGCTTCTAGCATCAAATCTTTCTGCATTCACAGGACAAAACCTACCCATCTCCTAACTTTTCAGGACATCCTTGCAGTATTTTGTCAGTGTAACCTAACTTATTCCAGCAGAAGGCATCTCATTTCATCCTCCACCCCGACGGAGGGAGAAAATCCCTCTGCATCCCCTGGCTCTTGCCACATTTACGCAGCTTCAGGAGGCACTAATGTTGCACGGCAGGCGCGACGGCTCATTTCTGACATCCCACACGCGGGGGGAAATAAAAGTCGGGGGAAGGGGGCGCGCGGCAAGGGGACAGGGGCTTGACCAAGGCCGGGGCGCCC